TCCCAAGGCAGACCATGATGGTTGTGAACTGGAGCCCTAGCTTTGGGGTAGAATTTAAGGTCTTGTTGACAACCCTGAAGTTATGATAGCAAGAACAGCCAAACAGTTTCCTTCATTTGGGAAGCTTGTACTAATCTGTCTCATATGACTAATTAGCATTGCCTCTGCTGAGATGGACTGATGGCCTGAACTATGGTAAGTCCTGCCTACTGCAGACCAGAGCACACTCTGAAGATGAGGCAGGCACTGGCATTTATCTCAATGCAACCCCTTTTAAGTAGAAAGTTCAACATGCACATAAATGCTTTCAGACACAAGGCAAGGTGTACACGAGGTGTACACACAACCACCTCTTCTTGCAACCCAGCTCTCCTCCTCTGGCCAAGTATGCAAACCACAAGATAATGTTCACTTGCACTGGTATTTGCCTTGTGGCACTGGAATGACAACACTGGAATATAAGACCTCCACAAATACAACACACCTACAGAGAAAGTTTGTTACTGTACAAGTAAGTGAACAACACAAGTACACAACAAAACTGAAAAATTATATACGACTTTAGTGGCCAAAACACACATAACTGTTATGCTTGTGGTAACTGAGTGGTTTAAGAAACAAGTATTTGTCTCCCTTCTCCTCTCCCCAGGTTTATTTGCTTTTTAGTTTCTTGGCCCTGTCCCAGGGTTTATACTAATTGCTTAGTACCTCTTACAAACAGGAGGGAAAAAGTAAGCTAGCTCTAAAATAGCAATCAGAAGGACTGAAAAAGCTGTTAGTATTAGCTAACAGAAACCAATGTAATGTCTGAAATGAGCTAAGCTTGTTCTTCAGATGGGCTGCATTCCATTAACACTGCTGGCTGCTCGATGGTCTGCTGTGTGTTTATGACTAAGATGTCACCTAGAGGTCTCTTACCTTTGGAGGCTTGAAAGGATATTCTGGTGTAAATGTGATGTCAAGGAAGAAAACACCTCCCTCGTAGACCGAACCTGGAGGTCCTAGAATGGTTGATCTCCATTCGTAGATGTTATCACCTTTGGGGCCAGCACTAAGAGATAAAAAAACCCAAACAAACAAATGGTTTAGGAATATTACCACAGTTCAAATAAACATGACCTCTTACATTCTTTGAGTATGATATGGAAGAAAGTTTTCAGTCTTATACTTCATACACCACCTAAACACAGGGATTAAAAGCAGATTGAATGCTTCCAAAATCTCAGATTTTACCTGGATTTATCAGTGTTCCATTTAGACCATTTAGCAGAGCTGAAAAACTGGAGCTGAGATACAGTTTTCAGCTTCTCTCTCCTGACATTTAAGAGTGGCACTGCCCAGAACTACTCCTAAACATGCTACAGAATCTCAACACAACATTCAAAGAACAATTTCCTACTGTATTTCAGAAATGGGTCTTCCAGTTCAGCCTTAATAAAACTGTACCACATCAAACACCAGACTAAACAAATTAAGGGTCTATGTTGATTTTATTCACCTTGTGTGTTCTTTAAAATTAAATACTTCTGTCTTATTGCTAAACTAAGGTTCATGGTATAATTGAGAAAAGCCAAATACATGTTTATACTCTTACATGTCAAAAATTTCTACACTTTTATAATTTTGCTACGCTTATTTCTAAAACGAGGCCACATGAACTCATCCCACTGATATTGTTTGTATCATGGAACTGCTTTTGCAAAGGGAATTAAAATCACTATGTCAAATTAAAACAATGCTTTCTCAAATAAGCTTTGTCTAATTCTAGATCCTCCCTAACCTGCCAGCAGCTCACCGAGAGCAGTATATCCTAAAGGTGCTGCAAAACACAAATGCCTGCTTGTTGAAAACGAGTTTTACTGCAGGCCACAGACACTTGTATTCTGCAGTGTGCCATATGTCACCGAGTATTTCTAAGTACAGCTCAACCTATAAAACCAGTAATGGTTTAGGACTCCATTGCTACTTCTTCCTTCCTGTGCTGCTGTGGTACTGTCTGATCTGTAAGATGCCAGAGATGGAAACTCCCTTTGCATAAAGGGAGGTGCTGACACAGCTTTTTCCAACATGGATGTGCTATGACTTCGGAAATCTCTTCTCCCCTTGTTCTGTAAGAGGCCAGATTTTAAAATCCCACTACAGTGAAAACCAGCCTTGCTCTTCTTTCCCCCTTCTTTTAACAAGGCTAATGTAAGACAGAAGGATTAAAAAAAAAAAAAAAAAAAAGGCTCTTTTCATATTCTAACTATCATGGAGCAGTATTACTTGAGAGGGAAGGCAATCCAATAAATTCAATATATGCATGACAATATGCATTTGATTAATGTGAAGAGAACCAGAGTAATTGCTAAGTGTTAGTAAAAGTGTTACAAATAGAAATACAATTACAAAAACAAATTCTCCATGTAACAACAGGGATCAGAGACGTGCGTTTTCCCCCTGCTCTTTGCAGGACTGATGAAAATGTTCTTGACAGCAGGGGAATCAGTGGAGAGAAAGGGAGTTAATGCTGTTATCAAACCTAAAATTTTATTTTCAGATTAAGCTAAAAATAAAAGTTCACAATATGTTGGTGCTAAGTAGTTCAACAATAGCTAAGCTATGACTAAAAGCATGCTTCCAGGGGAAGGAGGCACGTGAAGAAAGCAGTAAAGGGAGACAGGTTCTCTGCAAAGTGATGCACCAGTCACTGGGGAAAGATTTCTCTCCTCAGAACACAAAACCCTGCGCAGCTCAAGACTGGTACTAAATCAAAGTAAAAGCCATTCCATCCTGAACACTCCTGGGATCCTGCTCCATCTTAATGACTTGTCCCCGTCCTGTGCAGGTCCATAGATTTGGGCACTCAATGCTCCCCTGCTACCACTTGTGCATCAGCCTAGAGGGGTGCTGTATTTCGGCAGGAAGCTCTGCCTTTGGAAAGACACCAGCCTGACTGTGCAAACTTCCCAAGAAGGACTCTCTGGGGCACCCTCAGCCACCACTTCAAGGAATCATCTCTTTAGGTACGTATCAGCAACCTACTGCCACACCATCATTACTGGAAGTTGCACTGGGGATCACCCTCCTCTCCCTCCCCTAAAGGGTGGAGCTACTGAACAGAACAGGTACTTGAGCTTTGTTAGCAGCGATTTACTGTTGAATTTATATCACAAGAGCTGCCAGCTTCAGCACTCAAGAAATGTGATGTGTGATCAGCACCGAATACAGCCCTCCGAACCAACGAGACATGTTGTGACATCTTGCATGTTATTTCCAGCTTCAACCCAAAGGACTACCAATAAAAAAAAATCTCACAGACATAAAAAATAATATGTTACTATTTGTAATAGTTTTAGAAATCTCCTGTATTCTATCAGGTCTCCAATTAGAGCTATCACTGCATGCAAGTAATATACTGCTAGAGCTCTGTATGAAGAGTGCAGCATCTTTGTAAGACATCATCAGGCTTTAACAGTGATGTGCTAAGCTTACCTTTTAAGCTTTTCATAATTCAATTAACAGAGTAAAATAGCTGTAGATGTCAAATTTTTACATATTAACATAGATTTCTTATAAAGGAAAGACTGAAAGGGGAAGATGCAAGTCAGCTCCATAGTCCAATATTGCTCAGATTTAAACTGGGATTAGGTTGTATCAAGCAGCTCAAGGAGACCTAGTGCTTAATAGAAAAGTGACAATACTGGACCACAGCATAAGTGCAGCAGCATTAACTTTTGGTGGAGATATAAAAACTGTCAAAGGTTAAAGATTACATTCTTGGTTTAAAATCCTTGCATTCACTGCTTCAAAAAAAAAAAAAAAAAAAATTCACTGATGCACAGATACAGGGCTCTGGCACAGCTGCCACCTTGCCTGATGTGTGTCACCACTGTGCAAATTCAGTGTCTAGATATACTAATGAAATATTTTGAAGCTGCCCAACATATGACTACTGGGAAGACAATTTTAACCAATTAAATAGAAATTGTTTCCAATTGTAAGAGTATGACACCAACAGCTGTTGGTGTTGAACTCAACAGCCCACATTCTCTTCAACTCCGAAGGAAGAAATGAGGCAAAGGCTGAGTGAAAACTGAAAAGACCCCAGCCCATCATTACCCTGCCAGGCAGCACGTGTTGCACAGCAGCGCAGATGAGATCTCTCCCCCCTGGAACACCAGGGATATGCTCGGCGAAGGTGTGCAGCACCCACTGTAGCAACTGCTCCTGAGTGTTCCCAACTTGCTGCTGGCTCATCCTCTGGACAGTAACACCTAAGTTTCCCTTAGCAAACTGCCCATGGCCATGTTTGGTTTTGTCCAAGGACTATCTAACTCTCCAAGTCTAGAAGCAGTGGACTGAATCCTGGTAAATGCAGGGCAGAGAGACAGTCTCAGCACAGGTGAGACCAAGCTGTAAGTTCTGCCTGGGCCAAGTCCCCACCAGCCATGTGTCACCTTTGAAAAGCCGTATCCTGCTCTGCCTCCCTTTGCTGGCAGGCAGCAAGTTCTTTCTTAACTGAAAAAACAAGCAGGTAAATTAGAAATGCCTGCAGCAGAGGCTAGGGAGCAGAACGATGCCAAGGTAAACCAGCTGCCTGCTCAGACACCTTGCAGTACTGTGCAGCTGTAAACACAGGACTGTCTCAGAGATCAAGTGTTCATGGAGAAGACACACACACACACCCCACACACCTACACACCCATCTTCATGTACCGAAAAGGCTGAAACCACAGACAGTCTGTAAGAACAGACAGCCTGTGGCTTTTTTGTGTTAAGCCAGCCAGATACACCCTCCACCTCAGGCATACTTTATATGATACTAGTCTGATATTTTTGGTGCACAAACTCAGCTCCCTCCTCTGACCAGGCATCCCTGGGGAAATCACTCTAAGTATGCCTGTGCCATGGAGGGAAGGCAGGATTTTCTGGCGTTCACCACATATCACCATGTAAAGCACAAAAATCCCTGGGAATACACAGCTGGTACTTTCCAGGAGAATGACTCAGGAAAGAGCCCACTGTTTATATCAAATTGCTTGTACATTTGGAAACCACCTAGTCTTTTCTAGGAGTTGACCAAATGACAGCAAAGCTTTTTCTCCAGTGAAAATACAGCCCGGTGAACACTTCAGTGCCTCTTCTTTGAGATGTGGAAAGCACACAATAGCAGGTCACAGTAGTGGCAAATGAATCAAAAATTAGTCAATGCCACAGACACAAGGTTAATCCCCTGCTATACCAAAGAGGCATATATTCCTGTTAAAAGCTAACTCATTTAGCAGAGTAGTTTAAAAACGCCAGAGACTGCTGTCCACCAGAGTGGTGAGAATAGGGGAAATGTCATGGTACGTTGAAGTAAGTAACAGCTAGCGAAAAACTACAATATATTTCCATTAAATCCACAGACTCATACTCCAGCTACTTCATATACCTAGATTCTATTTTTGAGGCTATATTGCCCTGGACAGAAAAAGTCTCACGCAAGTAGCCAAGCTGTTTTGAGGTTGCACACTTGTGGAAAATAAATATGATTTCCAAAATCACTGCAGACATTACATTTTCTAATGGACAGAGCACAAATCAGAAAGGAAACAAAATACTGATGGGTCACAGGAATTCAAGGTTGCAGTCAATCTAATGACTTCCAACATAAACATGTGACATTACAAACATAGTAATATCAGGGGTTTTATTGTTCTATTTGGTAGTAAGAAACAGTGAGTGACTGAACATGGAATTGCCATCTCGGTCACATACATATCACCTTCTACACTAGCCAGCTTTGGAAAACATTTAGCTGACAATTACAAGGTTTCTCGCTCCTCCCTTTTTTATATATTTTTTAAAAAAAAAAAAAAAAAAAAAAACAACAAAGGAAGCCCAAAATGCATTAGAAATTTTGACTGGCAGGGAGGCAGTGTATCATTCTCATGTAACGTTGTGGTGCACCTTGATCTTCCCTCCTAATCGACCCCATTCCTGACCTCAGGGTGACTATGCTTTCTTTCCTGGGGGTCCACCAAGTGGGCCCATGCTGAGCTCACTCATCTACAGTGTTAGGCTGAC